CCCCAAAACCCCAAAACCCCAAAACCCCAAAACCCCGAATGAGATTTAAAGATTGAGTAATTCTGGGGTTTAATAAAATGAAATTATTTGGGAGAGATAGCGTTTTGATTAGCGCAAGTTTAGCACTGCTAGTGCTAGGAGTTTGGGGTTCAGAGTGTACAGGCAATGTGACTAGTGTTCTAAGTGAGATTTTGGGTAATTTTGTAGAGCCAGAGGAGTTGGTGTCGTATGCTTGGGGGCTTACGTACTCGGATTCGTATTTTATTGATGCTGTAGGGACGAGTAAGGAGGTAGATAACATGTATAGCGGATATTTATTGGATTGCTTCATCAGGAACAACTGTAATAGATGTGATGAGGGAAAATTCTGATGGGACTATCCCTTGGATTAGGAGACTTACAGATCAGCAAGGTGTCCCTCAGGCTCATGTTCTTAATAATGCTGAGAGTACCCTTTGGCTGGTGGATGAGCTTTCAACATATACTGGAGTTGAGATCTTGGAGATGGCAACTGCAGATGGGAGTACGACTCGGTATCAAATGTAAGTTAATTATCAGATGATCAGAATTTGTAATTTTTAACCAGAATATATTAAAATTTGAACTTCAGGCTTAAAACCAAATTTTATTATTCAGTACTTGCTTTTTTATAACTAAATCTGTATCTAAATTAATTCAGAGCCTCTCTCAATATTGTTAAAATGCTGATTTTATGTTGAAATTTCATTCATCTTCCCATTAAATTACGATATTAGTTAAGAGTAAGTAATCATCCAATAAAAACTATTGACATTTTATATGAAAAGATATTACAGACAAAAGTTGCTCTCTGCTTTCTAATATTTTTATTCAATTTCTCACTTATTATTCTGAACAATAGAGCAAATATTTTCATCTAGTTTTATGAAGTTAATAATACATCAGAAGGATATACAATAACTGTAACAATAATACTCGACTCTTTCTCTCGCTTTCATGTTAAATTATTAAAATACTCTTTGGGAAATTTAAAACTCTGCCAATATTTTTAAACCTCCACGAGCAATTTGAATTTTATATGTTTCGAAAGATATAAGATGGACCTAGCATCTTTGAAAAGTAGAGTAATCAAAGCTTTTGGTTTCATGACTTTTTAGTTATTTAATTCCATCTTAGAAAACCTATATTTCCATAAAGTCGATTTTAATAAATACAAGAAGCTTACTTAGTAATATTTCTAATTCTGAAAATGATCTTTATGTAGAGAAAAAGGGAAGGAAGGTTTATGCTTAAGCTTCTATCCTTCTTATCTTGAGCGAAACCATTCTCCTTTTCTTTAAAATTTTCTCTTGTTCAATTATGATAAAATCTAATTTTTTTAAATTTTGAGGTCTTTGACACCTGGGAATTTTAAGATCTTTAATATTTTATTTCTTAAAATTTACAAAGATGATAGCGATTCTTGAGAATCAATAATTTGGTCATAACCAAATTGTATAGGGCACATATTGACGGTAGGGATTTATCCCCAACTGCCATGATTTCAGCTGATGACTCTACACTGTACTTCACTGCCAAAAGTAGGAAATTTTAAGGGCTTTCTAAAATATCTTATAGGTGGAGCAGAAGCCGTCATCTGCACTTTTGATACATCAGCATACAATACCAATTGATTCGGAACTGGTACATCTTCTCCAGCAGGACTTCTGGCAATTAGCAACACAAGAGTTGGATTCTTTGGAGTTGACACTGCGACTGATAAGGGATGTTTGATAAACATCAATCCCTTGGTCTCTCCTCCAACAGTGAACTGGCAAAAGTTTTTAGTTTTTCCTAATTCAATTGCAGCAATTATGAATAAAGGAGCAGCCACAACTAATACTGATAACACAAAGATTTATGGAGCCCTTCCTATTGGTGGGAGTGCTTCAACCACCTTATTGGTCTTTGTTGTTCTTGAAGAATCAACTGGGAACTTAATTGGAGATTCATTAGTTTCTAATGCTGTGTGCACTAAAGTTGATGCTATTTACTATTTCTTGGATAAAATCTATGTTATTGGACAGTTCCCAGATTCAAGAATACTTGTATTTGATGAAATACAATCTCGCTTTACTAATATATACCAGAGCACAGGTGCGACATATCGAGGAGTGACCTCTGACACTGTATCAGGAAGGTAAATATCTTTCTTAATTATAGACTACGATTCATGGGAGGGAAGAGCAATAACCCGATTATTTACAAAGTATTCCCAGGTAAGAGATCTTGGTTATCCTTTAGAGAACTTGATTAATAATGGGGAGTTTACTTACTCAAATTTGGATATGACTTCGGCAACGAGGTATTATGAGTTTGAAGATAGAACTTACTCTTATGGTGCTGCTGTGGGTCAAAGTAATAGTGGAGCAGCTGGACACCCAAACGTTGCGAATACAATAACACCAACTATTTTATGGCAAACTACTGTGAATAGGTTTGAAGACCCAATCACTCTTGACCTTGACAAGAGTGCTTCTTTTAATGAATCTTTAAATATTACTTGTTCGATCGGAGGTACTCCAACTATCACCTATTCTTTCACACCTGTTGATACTGTGAGTAAAACAGAATGGTTGACTTTTAATGAGACTAGCTTTACACTCTCTGGAACTTCAGATTTCACTGCAGATGATCAAGTCCATAAATATGTTGTAACTTCAAACTGGTCTGGTACTCCTTCTGGAAGCTCAGAAACTTATATTACATTGAATGTTAAATCAGGAGAAGCTACGACTGCAGGAGCTGTTGCAACAGCTGCAGCTCAGGCTCAGGTTGGGATAGCTGCAGGGATAGCAGTAGTCAATGCTGCTGTAGCTGGAAATCCTCCAACCTCTCTATGGTCTCTTCTCCAACAGCTCCAGATGATTTTGTTGGTAATGATTATTGATGAGTACACTCCTGCAGATATTAATGAATTTTTAGAAGGAGTGTCCTTTGCATTATTCAACTTTGATTTCCTTCCGGCTGGAGATGCACCTCTCTTTGAAACACCTCTAGATTGGCTGGACTTTGGAGAGCCTAGTGAAAAGATACAGACTCTTGGCATTGAGTCAATAAGCACTTTGGTTAACAACTTTTCTTTCTTGTTCACGTATCTGTGCATAATGTTGATACACTTTGTGTTGAAGATAATGCCATGGTTCAAGCAAAAGAATCATCCTAATTGAATTATTAGAAATATATCGAAGATTAGAGAAAAAGTAATAGACACTATCTTCTATGCTACCTATGCAAGAATGCTTCTTGAAGCCCATGAAATTTTAGCAATGACCGCCGTTGTTGAAATTAAAGAGCTAGATTTTTCATCTGCTCCAGCAATAGTATCTTATTTGATTTCTTGGGTTTATCTATTTCTCTGTTTAGTCATTCTGATTGCTGCTTTTTATCTATTCTACATAAATAGAGAAGATTATGACCCAGAAAAGAAAACCCCTACTATGGAGTTCTTTGAAGGACTTAAGAATACTAAATGGGCGAGGTTCTACACATTCTTACTTTTACTTAGAAGAATGATATTCGTGCTTACTGTGATCTTTTTGCTTGGAAATGTAGACAGAAATATAATATACTCAGTCCTCCTCATCAATCAAGTATCATACTGTTGCATCTTTGTAAGTGTAACTTCTCAAAATTTAGATTTACCTGAGACCCTTTGAAGAACTCCAAGACAACATCATTGAATCAGTCAACGAGGTTTTCTTAACAGCAATTATCTGCTACTTGTTCGCAATGACAAGTGAAGAAAAATGGACTGACTCAACTACCACTGGGTTCATGAATTTCTTGATCTTCAATTGCTTCATTATTATAGGTATCATGTTTTGTAAGTCATATTTTAATTCTTTAGACTTCATGTTTGCTAATGTTATCACTAAGATCAGAGAGTGAAAGAGCAAGAAAGCATCAGAATCATTTAGCCATTTGGTAATTTATTTCTTAATCTCTAGTCAGTTCAAGAGGAGGAAAGAGCTGAGACGGAAAACAAGGTGATGAAGTCTAAGGAAGAAGAGCAGCACTATGAAGATAATGAAGGTAATGAAGCTATTGAAGCTAATGAAGATAATGAAGCTAATGAAGCTAATGACGAACCTTAATTCTTGAATATAACTCTCAAGAGGTGCATTAGCTGTTTAAGTGAGAGTAATCAAAATGTGTCCGATTTCGTAACTCAAAACTCCAGACCTGAAAAAGAAGCCACAATTATTCTTATTTATACAGTCATCTCTAAAAATAAAAACTAAAATTCATATTCTCAATACCTTTCTCAACACCCGGGGTTTTGGGGTTTTGGGGTTTTGGGGTTTTGGGG